TATATATGTTCTTAGGCATAAATTGTGTCCATGGTTTTAGTTAAAAGATATGCTATAGGTAATCCAAAGGTTTGTATATTAAGAATTGTAATCCAAATCCTTATACATAGTCATGTTTAATGTAATTTAGATATGTGTGCAGACAACTGAACAACTGAACTGATTCTGCGAAGAATAGATGAAATTCCCGTCCGAATGCCCATGTTTTTAACTGGGCATGCGCGGGAATTTCACAGCGCTATGTAGTGTGGGCTGATGATGTATCTCACAGGGCCTTCATCTGCCCAAACTAAGATGGCGGCGCCCATGACCTAAGTCCGGTCACAAAATAAAGTAAAAAAAAAAAGTAATATGGCAGACCTAGGGGCATTTGGAGGTAACTAGGAGGGCAATTATATGCAGTGTAGTCAGGAGGGGGGTTAAATATGTTTCAATTTGATTTTCAATTCACTGCAATTCCATACCTCCTGACATTGGGCATTATGAGATCGAGGTGGGTAGGCAAGCCTTCAAGGTGGCTTTACTCATGTTTCGCCACTGGCAATACCCAAAATAGGTGTGCCCTCTGAAAAGGCATCAAGCACACCAGGCTACCAGACAGCCTCCTGGCCATCCCCCAAACCACAGTACCAGGCAGGTCCTGCACAGGACAGTACCCTAAAAATTGGGACTGTCCCACTGAGAGTGGCACAGTTGTGAGCCCTACAATTCTATTCTCAGTGAGTACGCCCTGTGAGATCCTGACAATGCAATAAAATACAATCCCTTTGTTTTTTGACGTCCTGGTTTCCTGGGTTTAGTGTGTTTGCATGTATGCTGCCAACTTTGACTGGTTTATCCCTTGATAACTCTTTCTTTCTCGTTTTTAATTTTTAGGTTATTTTATATTTATTAAACGGTCAGTAAAAGGCTCCCGGGAGCTTTCCTTTCCAGGTGATAGCATGAATGCTCTGCTGTCTAAGTAGGTCTTAATTCTCTGCTGTACATTGTAAATCTCTGTGACATTATCGCTACTGTACATTATTTGGTATTCTGATAATCAGGGGCCCGACTCATTAAAATACATTTCTGAAATGAGAGTAATGTCGATAATTTGTAGCGAAACACATGTCTCGTCGTCGTTTGCCTGTTGACAGGTAGGATGTCTGCATTTCACATTGATATCATAAAGCGAACAGCAGTTGAGAATGTTAATTAGGGCCCAGAAGGGTTTTCTGTGCTGTTTGGTGCATCTTTACAGACAGACAAAAGACACAGAAAAAAATGAAAGCACAAGCAAGCTATCGCTGTGATTGAACTGGGTAAGAAACACATGCACCTACATATTGCAGGGTGATTTCTATCATTCATGGCCTTTCATACCTTTGTACAACGAGGACAATCTGAGCTAAATAATATTTTTTTTCCCATGTGCCAAAACCATACAAGGCCTGGATTAAAGGCTGATACACTACGATTTGATAGAAGTCAAAGCAATTCATTTAATGTCTAATAATATACATAACTCGCTGCATAGAGTTTCTGTTACATTGTGAGCAATCTGTGTCAGTGTCTGAGTACAGGTCTAGCTAGTGACTTGTTCAAGCAAACAGAATAGATTCCAGCTGTGTGTAATGAGATCACAGCGGCGTAAAGCAGGCGGCGCACACACAAGCACTCATAAACGCAGGCCTCAATGATAGAAAGCGAGATAAAGAGATAAAAAAAAAATCAAAAGGCTATTCTATATATTAACAATGATCACATTGTATCTATGTTCTGCGGACCTAGATGAAAAACAGACCTCTATGCCAACAGATGCTCTCCATAAAGTGCAGGGATTTGTTGTAAAAAAAAAAAGATTGCAGCATTAATATTCCATATTCACACATCTTAGGTTAGGTGGATCATTCTCTTAAACCTCGCTGCTTTACACCAACATAATTGTCTCTTTCTAACATCAGCAGGGAGGCTTCAATATGACTGCCAAATTGTCAGGTCGTTCGTCAGGCTAAAGCTTGCTGTATTGAAATTACTGGAAAAAAAGAAAATCTAGATTTATTTTTGGATCATACAAAGGAGGGCTAAGAGCATCAAACCTGAGATTGGCGATTAACACTGAGAGAGCAGTTTAACACTGAAAGTAGTTTAACAGTGAGAAAACAGTTTAAAGGGGACACGTCACCGTATAAAACAATGAAAGTCTCCTATATCTTCTGTTAAACTTTTTAATTGGATGATCAATTTCCATCTTTTATTAAATAAATATTAGAGATTTTGCATTGGACATCACAATACAGTTTGGTTTTGGCACAGGCAGGCAAAATAGATAGCCAGGTAGGGCCAAAAAGATCCAATAGTGTAAAAAAAAAAAGCTTAATACTTATTACTAGATCAAAGGAGAAATATATAAAAACAAAAACAAAGTATACTAAAATCTAAAAAAAGTAAAATGGCAAGAACAATAAAAAGTAATAACAAAATTGCATGCAGCAAAAAAAATAAAAAATACTTAAAACAGAGAACTTGATAAGGTCCTCAAAGGTAGATTCGGAAGGCAAAAAAGAAGAGAATCTAATAGTGCAGTCAGTACAATAAAAATGGGACTCATACAACACTAAAAGTGCGATTGCATACTCACATGGAATGGAGCTACGACTAGGTCCAATTAAAACAGCATGCAGCGCTATTAATCCCCACTTATGGATATACAGAAATCTCAGCTGTTGTCCTGACTCACAGAATGGTAGACATGGAGACCTTACAATAAAATAAAAAATTGCTCTCTGTATGCGTTGATTGAAGGGTGATAATCAAAAACCTTACTCACAATTTCCAGAGCAGTCCGAGCTGCTCTATCCACCTAGGAATCTTTATCCAGTAGTTGGCAGGTATAGTAGATATGGAATGCCAGGTAGTAAAATTCATATATGAGAGGAAAGTAACAAAAAGGTATAGGGTAACATCAACACGGTTATAGGCACAAAAATACTTTATTGCTAAGAATATAGCATATAAAACAATATAAAATAATCCACTACGCTTTTTCGAGTGGAAAATAATGCAATATAAAAAGGAACAAAGAAAGGCACACATTGCACTAGAGGAGGAAAAATACACTGTTTCAATTTGTCTTTCTAACTCTATTCTTTTTAAGCTTTCTCTAAATGGAAAGGGTGCTTTTTATTTTTGAAATTCTTTGTTTTCGAAATTTTTCATTTTCATTGGGGTTAGGGTACAGAATATAACCAGGGAGTTAGATTATTGTTACAGAGTTCGTAGAGCTTATTTTTGCGGTTTATGACAGTCTTGCATATGAAACAGGTTTATGATGATTTTTCATTGGTTACAGTATCTGTCAATAGTTTATACGATATTTCTCTGTGCATAACTTTTGTTGCTGCTCTAGATCTAAGGATTTGGGGAGGGGTACAGAATAGATAAAAGGGGGTGAATCAGGATGCCCTATTGGGTTTTTTCTTTTCCCTTATCCTCCCTTCAAAGTGGTGTCCCAGTGGCCAGGCATCTGTTGGCTAGAGTGTGTTTGGATTCCCGGGTCTCTATGGTCGTTTGAGGGTCTTATTATGTCACAGCGTCTCTCCCTCCCCCGGCTCTGCTTGGTTTTGTCGGTTCGGGACGGGTGTGGTCCTGCTCGAGGGGTGTGGGGTTAGGCCCTGTTCCAATGGGGGTTGGGGGATGGTCTGCCCAATGTTGTTGGCATGTCTTGGCATTTGTTGGTGCTCGGCGTCCCCCCATGTCCCATTCCCTCCAGGTCTCTGTTGTATCCCGTCAGTTATCTAGGATGGGGTCTGGTTACCCTCCCAGGATGGGGGTTGGGCTCTTGTTTGTGTGGGAATCGAGGTGAGTGGCCCAGAGCGTGGTGCGGTACTTGTGTCTTAACATTCAATAAAATACTTTGTAACTTAACAGATTCGTTTTTCAACAGATTATACGCAGGTCATCACAGCTTGTTTTATCCCCCCTTCCCCTGTCTCTGGTTGGCCTGGTTGATTGGGCCATTCTGATTTAGTCCTGTTCCCAAGGTAAGTGGTGAAGTTGGGTCTCTCTCTATATTTGGGCTGGGGCTTTCGGTACAGTACCTTTTGTGTGGCAAGTCCAGCATTTGTGTCTGGTAGGGTCTATCGCATTTTTCCAGTTTGTCTCTGTCGGGCCCTATTGGTGTGGCCTTGTCGTGGGTAGGTCCTTTTCCGAGATGGGGCTAGGAAGATTTACTTCCTAGGTTTTTTCTAGTGGCTGAGGGGTCTTGTTGTTTTGTTGGGTGAGTAGCCTGGGGTTATAGTAAGGGGTAGGGGCCTTCAGGTGTCAGGGGGTGTAGTCTGATCTTCGGATGTTATTTTTGTGGGAAAATACATTGAGTCATTGGTTCAGCCGTTGAGGTCCCCTGTTGCGCTTGTGTCCTAGTGGTAGAGGTTTGTCTTTTCCTGCCCTGTTGGCGTGGTGGTAGTGGATGTGAGCCATGGGAGTATGCTTGTCCTGGGTTGGCGTCGTCCGTGCCTGCATCTGGTTGTAGAGCGAGTCCCAGGTCCATCATATCGGCTACCTGGAATAGTGTGCAGGTGTGGTTGTCTTTTTTTGCGATGAGTTTGTAGGGGTGCCCCCACATATACCTCCAGCCCTGTTGGGTGAGGGCCGTGGTTAGCAGTTTTAGTTCCTTACATTTTCTTAAGGTGGAGGGAGCCAGGTCCTGGTAGAATTGGACAGTTTGACCCTGCATTTGGGGGGGGGTTTCAATCTCGCTATTCCAATGAGTTGCTCCTTAATGTTGAAGTGGAGCATCTTGAGGATGACATCCTGAGGGGCAGATGGGTTGAAGGCGGGGGGACGCAGTGCTCTGTGGATCTGTTCTATTGTGAGCTCTGTGTCTGAAGCCTCAGGCAGCATGTTTTTAAATAAGTCCTATATGGTAGGGAGCAGGGTATCTGCCGTTATTGATTCTGGTAGTCCTCTTAGCCTTATGTTGTTCCGGTGGGAATGATTGTTCAAGTCTTCCACGCCATCTTCTAGCTGCTGTATTTTGTCATGTAGGTGAGAAAATTCTTGGTCGTGGACCGAGATCTGGAGGTGATTTTTGCCAGGTGGGTTTCGGTTTTGTGTGTCCTGGCGACTAATGGCTCTATGTCGGTTCTCAGGCTTGTTATGTGTTTGTCTAGTTCGGCTGCTGTGTAGGCTTTGATTTTGTTTGTCGCCTCTTGTAGTAGCTGGCGGAGATCCCCTTTGGTAAGTGGGGTATGTGGGTTTGCACGCCCGTTGTCTCCCTTGATTTCTGAACCGGAGTCCATGTGGCCTCGTGGGGAAGATGGCCGCTGGCGGTCTTTGGGTGTTTGAAATAGCGTGACGACCGAGGGTGTTTGATCCCTTTTTTTCTTTGTGCCTCCCATCTGGGGTGTCGTGTGGAGGGTGTCTGCGTGTGTGTGGGGGTATAATGAAGTCGGGTGTCGGTGGCGTGAGTGCGGATGGATGTGGATTTTTGCCCAGGGGCGAGGGAGCTCAGGCTTCACAAGTCTGGCGCCATTGACGGTCAGGCTCCGCCCCCCAAAGAATGCTTTTTATAAAGGACAGCAGAGCTGTTAACAATGTTTGTTAGGGAGCCAGAATGGATGTATTCATTTCAACAACAGAGCTGTTGTTTCAATGTATTTTCTCTACCTCACAAACATAGATTTGTTAAATATGAGGGATAAATAAGTGACAGTTGCCCTTTAAGGTGAGAGAGCAGTTTATCATTTAATAGTTGGTAATGATTGGGGATTATTTTTTTCTAATTGAACTCTTTTGACCTAAAATATGAGATTTACTATGGGTTCACCTTTTCCTGAATTTCCCCACAATTCACACGTTAGTAAATAACTCTGATAATGTTCCTTCCTATGCATTTTCTGGAAAAAGCCTCATAAATAATAACTCGATTGCCTGGAGCGATCTCCATGTAAATCCGCCTAAAAGGACGGCTGGCTGGGAAAGCTATTCACTAAAATGAGGATTATCAGGCATTCAAAGTGAATTTTGTTTACTAAAGTGAGATTTACAAAGTGAATTCTATGTGAAGTTGACTTTTATCCAGTTTGGCTACTCTGAACTTAAATTTCAAATTCACTTTGGCATGAGCACCTTCAAGGGGAAAAATGACTGTCCCTTTCGTCCAGCCGTTGCAAACAGTATTTATATCTTATTAAACCCTCCCTCCCTTCGCCAGCTCAGATTGCGCGCAAGTGTTCTAGCTGGCAAAACTGTCTAATCACAGGCTTCACTATAAAAAGCACATAAACTGACCGAGCATGCCCCCCCATGACGGCAGGAGTGGGGCCAAAAGTCAACGCCAGGAACTTCACCAGGTTCTGGATATCTGGTAAGTAAATTATTATTTTTTTCTATACTGAAAACAGAATTGAATTCATAGAAAATCAACAGAACACAGAAATGGTTCCCCCCGCCAAAGGGGGAACCTAATTCATAGTGCCCAGTAGAACACCGAAATGATTCCCCTCCAAAGGGGGAACCTAATTCATAGTGCCAAATAGAACACAGAAATGGTTCCCCCCACCAAAGGGGGAACCTAATTCATAGTGCCAAATAGAACACAGAAATGGTTCCCCCCTCTAAAGGGGGAACCTAATTCATAGTGTCCAGTAGAACACAGAAATGATTCCCCTCCAAAGGTGGAACCTAATTCATAGTGCCAAATAGAACACAGAAATGGTTCCCCCCTCTAATGGAGGAACCTAATTCATAGTGCCCAGTAGAACACAGAAATGGTTCCCCCATCCAAAGGCTTGGAGTAACCATTGAATGCCAAATTAGCTGACCTGAACAATTATTTTAGATCAACTATTTTGGCCTTTAATCTGAAATTTACTTTGATCTCCATGAAAATTCTCACTTTAGACCTCTCACGACAGTACAATTCTGCCAAGCTATGGCTATATCTACCTATATTTATATCATCCCTTATCTTTAATCTCTACATATCTATACTAGCTTGCGACAGTATATTTGTTTTATGCTCAGATTTGTTCTGTTAAGCTTGTTCAAACTTGAAACTTAAAAAAAAAAAAAGAGGCTGAATATTTTGAAGTTTAGTACTATGGGCATACCTACTATACTTATGTCAAGTACACTTTTGCTATAGCTTGTTTGTCTTGTTTCTGTAACATATCTCCTATGCCTCCAATAAAAAACAGATTGACAAAAACCCTATTGTATCTGGTGACTAGACCATTTACATAGCAGCTTCAGGTTCTGTAAATAAACCTCTCCCGGGTTGATAAGAAAAAATACTGAGCAATACGGAGTCTAATAACTTTCAGAAACTAGCGTAAATACGTGTCTGAGATTACACCATGAATGATATAATATTAATACTTAGCGGTAAATGAAAAAAAAAAAGTGATATCGCTGGACATATTACTCATATTCAGATGAAAAACATTTGTCTTTTGTTTGCATTTCCAAACAAATTAAAAGCTTTTGTAAAAGTCAGGCTTCAATAACTTTGCTCATTAGTTTCTGAAAAGGGCAAATGTAGTTAAATAGGGATATAAACAATTACTGAAATGACGGAGTGTACATTGCAGTTTTATAATTAAGTTATATATTTTGCATGAGCTGCATCTGCTTAGAATCTTGTTTAGGTATGTTTAGAATAAGGTGGCGTAACCTTGCAATTAATTAGTACAGCTGGTCATATTTCATGTTGGGGGAAGTTTTAACCAATTCCTTGTTCATTTCTTTGATGCCCCTACAGTGGCGTGCACATGACCCATGGGGCCCCGGTGCGAAAATTGATCCGTGGGCCCCCTCCGCGCTTACTCGGCATGAGTTGGGGCCGCAACACATGGCGGCGGGCACCTGGTCGCAGGGGTTGCAGGGCTGCGACCTCGCGACCGCGTTATGCACACACACTTAAAGGACCACTACAGACACCCAGATCACATCAGCTTAATGAAGTGGTCTGGGTGCCAGGTCCCTCTAGTTTTAACCCTGCAGCTGAAAACATAGCAGATTCAGAGAAATGGCTATGTTTCACTGAGGGTTAATCCAGCCTCTGGTGGCTGTCTCATTGACAGCTGCTAGAGGAGCTTCCGCGATTCTCACTGTGAAAATCACAGTGAGAAGACACTGAACGTCCATAGGAAAGCATTGAGTAATGCTTTCCTCTGGGCGGTTTAAATGCGCGCGCCTCTTGCCGCGCATGTGCATTCGGAGCTGAGAGGCGGAGGGATCCCAAGTGCCAAGGGAGTCCGACGCTGGAGAAAGGTAAATGCTGAAGACACACACACTCTCACGAACAGACGCATACACACTAGCTAACAGACACACACATTTACTGACAAAGACACACAGTGACAGACATACATACACACTCACTTACAAAACATACACTTTCACTGACAAACATACACTCACTAACAGACATCAAACACACTAAGTAACAGACACACACAGTAACACACTCACTAGCAGACACACACCCAATAACAGACACACTCACTGACACACACACTAACACACACATTAACACAAACACACACACGCTAACACACACACTAACACACAAACACACACACTAACACACTAACACACACACACACTAACACACAAACACACACACTAACACACACACACACACACTAACACACACACTAACACACACACACAAACACACACACAAACACACACTAACACACACACACTAACACACACACACACACTAACACACACACACACACACACACACTAACACATACACACACACACACTAACACACACTAACACACAAACACACACTAACACACACACATTTTTTTTAAATTAATCCCCCCAGCCTCCTTACCTTTTGGAGAGCTGAGGGGATTCCCTGGGGTCCAGTGGTGTTGCTGGGCAGGCTGGCTGTCTGGGTGGCCGGCGCGCGAGGGAGCTCTCTCCCCTGAGGCCTTCGTCATCTTCCGGCTCCGGTATCAGTGCGGTGTGCGAGGGAGCTGAAGAGGAAGCACTCAGGGGAGAGTGCTCCCTTGCGCGCCGGCCACCCAGACAGCCAGCCCGCCCGCCGGGGTCAGCAGGGCCCCCCAGGAGAAGAGGCTGGCCCTGTGGGTGCATACCTGGTATGTACGCCACTGCCCCTAAATGGTCTGTGTTCAAATTCGCTAGAGGCAAGAAGGCAGCATTGGGGGGAAAGCAAACTATATACAATGACATATTGACACAAAAGTGAGCATTGGCAGGAATTCAAAGTGAATTTCAAATTTAAAGGGACACTATAGTCACCGTAACAACCTGCAGTCTCACTGCTCAATTCTCTGCCATTTAGGAGTTAAATCACTTTGTTTATTCAGCCCTAGCCACATGTCCCTACATGTGACCTGCACAGTCTCCCTACACATTTCCTGTGAAGAGAGATGTAATGTTTAAACTTCCTTTGTAGCACTTTCTGTTTAACCCCTTAAGGACCAAAGTTATTTTAACAGAGCAGGATATATATTGATGCTATACTGACTGAAAATGACATTTTTTTCATGTACATTGTGTGAGTCACAGCCAGGGGAGGTGTGGCTAGAGCTGCATAAACAGAATTGAGCAGTGAGACCGCAGGGGCATAATCAATACACTAAATGTGCTTCATTAAAGGGACACTCCACTGCCCAAATGCATAAATAATAGAAATTCATTTTTAGTAGATACAGCCTCAATGAAAACATACATGAATTTAATGCTGCATTTTTTATTTGCATATCTAGAAACACCTCGCACAAGCTGCACATTTCTTGTGAGAAGTCATTGCAAGGCAGGCGGACAGGGGGGCAAACAAGGTTACATTATAAAAATGCCAATTTCTATTGGAATATGCATATATTGTGAAATTCAGCAAGTTAAAGTGTGTATACTTTGAATTCCCAACCATTCTCAATAACCCTGTTTGAGCTACATGTATCTTTTGACTCCTATATACATTTTAAACATCATGGTTTAAAGTGTGTAAATGACACGTTGATGTCACTTATGGTGATTCAGTTGTGTCACTACATTCACTAGAACACATTACTCGGGTTATAAAACAGATACAATAACAGTATCAGATCCTCCTCCTACTTTAACTTCTTAAATCTGGTTTATCTGCTGCCAATCCTTATGTCACAATTTACAATTATACTTAATGGAGAGGATGCACTGGTGTTTGTATATTTAGCCTGAAGGATGCACCTAAGTGGTGTTGAAAGCTTGCAATTTAATTTAACTAGGTTGCCGGTAATTATATGACCCTCACTACTTTTATCAGAATATGTAACACGATTATACATTTTAAACAGAGTCTGATAAAAATTTGGTAGATGTTATCTTAAGGAATATATAAATCTCTATATAATGACTTGCAAAGATTGTTTAA